CTCTGCTCCCTTCTTGCAGTTTTCCTCAAGTGATCCACATTCCTGGCTTCTCCAAACTTCTGGGGTCTCCACTGCACCTTTGGCTTCACACTCACAGCTTCACACACTGCCCTCTCAGGGGCACTGCCTGGCCTCCCAGGCCTTCTTCTGAAAGCTGGGTGGAAGCCTTCCTGACTCCACAACTCTTCCATTCTGCATGCACCTAAAGCCAGTACCACGTGGATGATGCCAAGGTCTGCCACCAGCTGGAGCAGTAGCCGGGCTTCCTTTTCTTTTGGCTGTAGGTGTCAAGTGCCTGGATCACTGAGCACTCTAAACCCAATCCCAAGGAACAAATCTTCTAGGCTGCCACCATTCAGGAACATGGTGCTCTGGGGCTCTCTTCTCAAAGCTAATTCTTTCACCTTTGCAACTCTGAGGCTGCAAAGACTGGACTCCAGCAAGTTCGTGTAATGCCTTCAGGCCATCTTTTCTGTTGTGTTCTTCTGAAATACTTGGCTTTTCCTTCCTAGTCTTTTCAGTGACCAATTTCTCCTCTGTTCCATCTTTGCACGCCACAACTTTATTGGAGCTTCCTTTCTGGCCAAACTCATATTTTTAATCATTCTGCTGGCTGTTTGCTCTTGATTCTCAACATAAATCTGGCTAAAAGCCCCCAACAGTAGCCCTGCCACCACCTCAACATTAGACTGCCTTAAAATTTCTTCTGCAAGATCAATCAGCCTCAGGAAAAGTCTCTGGACACAAGCAAAATGCAGGCAAACTTTCTACCTAGCCATAACACACATGTTCTGGAGTCCAATAGCCAATCCAGTCCTCTTTCCCAGCAGAAACCTCCCAAACCTGTTCTTTACTGGCAACTTTTCTATCGGCATTCTGGTCTCCTGAACTCTCACCAGAATCTCCCATTGAGTACAGCCTCAGTCATTACAGCTCTACTTTTTCAGCTGGCATCTCCAAACATTTCCTTACTCTTTCCTTTCCCATAAGCCAGCTCCAAGAGCCTAAAGCACATGGTCAGGTACAGTCATAGCAATAACTCCACTCTCAGCACCAAATTCTGTGTTACTTTTTTCATTGCTAAGACAAAATATCCAACACCCACAAGTTAAGGGGGAAAAGGTTTATTTAGCTTGCAGTTTGTAGAGGTTTCAGTCCATCATCAGCTGGCTCCAAGGCAGCATGGCATGGAAGACAGGCATTGCAAAGGGGACACAGCTCGTGATGGGCAGAAGGTAGCAAAGCAAGCAAGAGTGACCACAGCTCTTTCTATCCCTTATATATTGCTCAGGGCATTCAGGGTAGATAGAACTCACACCCTTAATCCTAGTGCCCTTGAGCCTAGCATTGCACCATGAGTCAATTCCAGTGTCACACTCTAGATCCAGCCACCTCTGAAAAAGCCCCACCTATGACTACATGAGGCTTTGGGGCAACATTTAGACATAAGCCAGAACACCAGGCTGCACTTGTATGGCTGATACCAAGAGCTGCTGTCCCCATAAATCAGGACAGAGTGCTTCAGAGCTCAGTAATTCCACAGAATTTGCTCTTAGTTTCCCTGGGTTTGCATTTTTAAGGAAGAGCCATCCCATGTGAAAATCAGTCCTTCTCCTGAGGCTAGGCCTTCGGCATTGTTCAGCCTTGGTTC